GTTCCAACACTAACACATCATCGAGGTAGACATGACATACCCCACGAGCCAGTCCAGTTAGTACGGCTTCCATTAACCTTTGAAAGGTTGCCGGTGCATTTACTAAACCGAAGGGAATCCTCTTGAACTCGTAGAGTCCCGAGTGGGTGCTGAATGCAGTTTTTTCTTGTGAGTACTTCTCCACTAGCACTTGCCAATAACCCGAGGCCATATCGAGAGTGATGAAGTAGGTGGCCCCCCGGACAGCAAGTCTATCGTCGATTCTTGGAAGAGGGAATTCGTTGAGTTTTGTGACACTGTTCAATTTACGATGTCTATGCAAAATCGGATTCCTCCATCTTTCTTCCACACGAGTACCATGGGGCTTGCAGAGGGTATAATACGATGATGTCTTGCAAGAGCATCTCTCCGACCATCTGGTCTACTTAGTCTCTCTGGGCAAATGGCATTCTCATGCAGGCTGTCGGATTGGTGGGTGATCCCCGTATTGATTTTGTGCTCAGCGACGTCAGGTCACTCGCGTTCAAGGCAAAAACATCCACATAACTGAGCAGCATTCCTCTATTTTGGGAATGTTGTCCTTGTGTCAGGTGATCTAGGTGATCTAGTTTAGGATCGAGCTGCTGTACTAGTTCTGCTCTTCGATCGGGTTTTGCCTCTAAGGTCAGCTGGCTCATAAGCGAGCAACTGTCAAATCTTGAAGTGTTACTTCTTCCGTTGGAGACACTGTCCCCATCTCCGTTCCAGCTCTGAGGAGCCTTGAGGTGGTAGCTACCAGAGTTTCCAACCATTAACGTAGCACAGACTTCGTTCCCACCCTCAATGGCAGCATCCGCTAGTGAGAGACTGTCATAGCTTAAGTTGGGGTGAACAGGAGAAGTGTAGAGTCTGGTTTTCTACAGATTTTGCACTTTTTCTGTGTCTTGCTGGAATCTTAGTAGCTGCACTACTCCTTCAGGTTTATCGTGACCTTGGTCATCTGGTGTGTCTGGGTAGAATGACTGCAGTAGTGCCTCTGGGGTATGTTCTCCATTTTTTTCACTGCTGTCTTGAGAGTTTTTGCATTAGTTCTAATGGCTAGTACTGCTGCTCCTGGTTCAGCGAAGTTATATTTCCCCCTGTTGAGATGTCAGTCGGGGTTGACATTGTACTGTCAAGGGACTTTGGTGGTTACTCGGGCTGTCTCCTCAGAACAGACATCAGGGGCTGTCGCCACTGTCAAACGATGTGGTGTCGTGGAACAAGCCATGGGAGAACCTGTAACAGAGGATCCTGCCTCATTGTCTACTTCTTGTCCACAGGCGGAAATGGTAAGGGATGGGGGAAAAATATTTTTTGCTTGTGGCCTCTCCCAGATTGCCCCCTCCGGAGTCTGTATGGTCCTTGTCTCTTCCTCACAGAGGGGAGGTCCTGTGGTGGATTGGTCTTTGTTCTTATGCTGATGTTCCTCTCCTGTCAGCAGGTCGACAAACATTTCTGGTGTTTCCATGACCAGTCTAAAACCCAGCTTAGGTTGGAAATCCGACCCAAGTAGCAGGTCGTTTGGGGCTTTTGGCTGGACGAGTACAACACCATCCACTGTTTGGCCACCTTGTGACAGTCGTAGCCAAATCTTACAGAGTATGTTGAGTTGATGCCCACCATACGAACTAAGAGAAACTAGGCATAGAGAACTTGCCTATTGTCTTTTCTTCCCAGTGGGAATCAATTTGTTCAGATCCTACTTCCGAGGTCAGGATTTTCATGACATGATCCAGTGAGATGATGGTAGCAGGAGATCCAGTGTGTACAAGTGCTCTGGTGGGCATTCCATTCACCCTTACTTCACTATATATGGCAGGTTCTAGAGTCTTGTCTCCTTTCCTCCGTCAGTCAGTCGGGACTTTTGCTCTTGTGTCAAAGGGTCTGGTGGGTAGCTTTGAACAGTGCCTCAGAAAATCTCTGCTGGACTTTGTCAAGTTCCTGTTCTCCTCTCTCTTTCTCATTTGATGTGGACATTGTATATACTTGGAGGTAGACCAGTCGGTTGCTGGTGGTGAGCTTCGTCATCACGTCGGCCTCTCTTCTTGTAGGGGCAAGACCTGGGTATATATATGCCCCTCCATCCCTCAGGTGAAACAGCGAGAGTGGCTCCCTCGGGCCACTGAGGGCATGGTTGCCAAGTGTTGGCCACCACCTGACGCTGGGACAGAGGTGAGTGCCTAGAGCTGGGAGCTTCAGCAACAGTGACATCTCTATGTCGCTTGGTACGTGGTGAGCCTGATGTTCTGAATTTCTCTGCCATCAATTCACGACTCTTGGCCTCCTCAAATCTGGCTTTCAACACCAGCTCCTCCATGCTTCCTTCAACGCCATTTAGCTTTCACTTCAGCTCTGGTCGGAGTCCAGTGACAAACTGATTGGCCAGGAGTGTGTGTCCCATTCTCTCGGCGTGGGGTCCCTCACTGACCGCTCCGGCAGAGGCCATGTTTTAAAGCTTTTGCAGCTCCTGGGTGAACTGGCCGACAGTTTCCTTTTCCTGTTGTTGGCGGTTAAGGAAGAGTTGAGCTTGTACGGCTGTCATAGCCGCTACGAGTTGATTGCGTATATCCACATGGCATGATCGATAGAATGCTATCGCTGTGTCTCTTAGGTTGGAGGTTAGATGTGCCAACTTCCAGTGTTCGTCCCACCCCACCAGTCTTGTCACATTTTCAAAGTGTTCATGCCACTCAGTGAAGGACACCCCAGTGGCACACCTATCCCCGGTCAAACACGGAATCTGCAGGATTTGGACCATGATCGGCATGGAGAACACAGGAAAAAGGGAAGTAGCTACATGGAGGTGGGGTCTCAGGGTGTTTTAGTTGAGGGGGCCTTGCGTCTGGCCCATTTCGGTTAGTTTCGTAAACCCCAACACCCCTGGCTGAGCTTGAAGTACCCCGGTACAGTTCCTGAAGCGTTTGACACTGTAGCCGCGATTACCACACCAACCCGCCAATCTCTGACATAGGGCACTAGGTCCCCTCTTGCATTTCAGGCTTGTGGACAGTTACTACTGGGTGTCTTGGACAGACCTTTGTGTGACTGTTGTTGACCCTTGTTTGGCCTACTATTCACCACTTGGCCTTGATAAACACTGACTTGAGGTTTGTCTTCAACTGGATTCTGTGGTCTTTGTGCACCACTAACTTGTACATACACAGGCACCTGAGGTTGGGTTATAGCGCCTAACTTAGGGGTCCGTGGTTGGGGAGGGTAGCTACACAGGATGAACACCCACCCCATTGCTCTGGGTGTGTGGTATATGGCCCTAGTGCTATGGTAGCCACCTGAGTATTATTATTATTGCGTTCGATAGTTATGGCGTGAACACCAAGTAAACAAGCCAATATGCTAATTAGTATTGGCTTACCTCGACCGCATTCTGCTGTTTGTGCTCGGCGGATGCATGCGATCAACGGAAGATGAGTAACACTCTCCATTTAAACATTTTCAAGTGAGGGTATAAACTGAGAAACCCATGTCACGTTACTGAAACTTCCTGCACATAGCGAATAGTGCCGGAAGCGATGTTTCCAGCACATTCACAAATGTGCTGGAAGCACTTCCTGCACATTCAGAAAAGTGCAGGAAGAATTTTAAAATGTGTAGGAAGAATAGTGGAAAGTATGTGAGTTTCCAACAGATTGTGTGGAAATGTCTGCGTGACAGTAGAATTTTGTCGCGAGGAGCAGTGCGCTATCGCACATTGTTGTATGATCCACAGGCGTCCTCTTTGGATAAACATGCTTGAACTATAATGCTACATTGCGAATATACCTTGCTCAGCATGTTTATCCAAAGAGAAGCCTGTGGATCATACAACCAATGTGCGGATTGATTTGCCTTGTTTTCACGCCATATCTCTGGAACGCAGTCGTTTGCGAGGAAATCGCCATCATAAAATAATCGTTGTTCACAACCGGTGGTGCCACTCATTGGCCGCCCCGTAGACCGTAGTGCGAGAACTCGCGCGGACAGACGGACAGACAGACAGACAAACAGACCAAGTACCGTAAGGATATAATTATGCTTAATCCTCCCTCCACTATACTCAAACCTGTGTAGTGCTCCACATGAATCTTGGCTCAGTCATGCAGCATGTAGCTATAATGTGGACAAAATAGCATAATACAGTAGAACCTCGTTGAAATCTAGCCAGTGCAGAAATTAACCTGTTGGTATATATCGGTATTTTCTTGTCTTGTTGTGCGTGGTGGTAGAAAACGTGGTAACAGACAGACAGACGGAATGACAAACCAAGTACTGTAACCATGCTCGCCGAGGGTTAACAACACTGCTGTCACAACTCAAAAACCAAGGAACTGTCAGAGAGGGCCACACCATTAAAATAATGGGTTAAATAAGTCATAGCTGACGCTTTGCTTCCTAACAAAAAAACAGTGCTTGTGTGGAAACTATCAAGCGACTGGAAATGCTCAAACCCATCATCCCCAAGCTCCTCCTGCAGCACGACTAAGAAATTGCTCCTAAAACTACTTATGCTGACACTCACCACACACATGACTACACACTTTCACACTCATCATCACACAACAGGTACTCTTCATTCCCTCCCTCTATGCCCTACCCAGTCCTCAGTTAGTAGGCCCATGCGTGCCCTGACCTGAACTTAAACATTACACTATGCGCGCCACGCGCCACTTTAACGGCGCGCGCGTATTCATTGCCCAGCGCCACACGCCACTTAAGTGGCGGGAACGCGTTAACGGGAAACAGCGGGCTTCCCTCATGAATAGGTAAAAATTTTTTTGCCTGCACACGAGTGATTGCTCGTTATTCTGCGCAAGACGTCGCTAATCTTGTCGATGACAGTGATTTTGATGCTGATAGTGACTCTGATGTGGAAGAAGACCCGGATTTTCCCTTGCCAACAGTAGATTCCGACGATGAGGTTGCAATAGCAGTCCCCTCTTCTACAAGCTCATCTAGAGGAGGTATTTACGATCATCATCTGTACTAAGTTGTTTGCAAGAACAAAATGATTTTACTGTAATATTTAATGCATGAATAGAGCGTGGTAGAAGAACACGAGGAAGACGCGGTAGAGGAGGGAGATGTTCCTCTGGATCTCGACCAACGAGTACAGTGCCATGGGTAGCCGTTGATCCTGACACAGACACCAAACCAACAGACCGTCCATTCTCTCCCCCTGCTGCTCCAGATTTACAGCTTCCCCAGAATCCCAAACCTGTGGATTTCTTTTTCTGTTTATTTACGGCACAAGTCCTGCAACACATAGTGGATGAAACAAACAGGTAAAATTTACTACGCAACTTTTTAGACACCCATAAACTGTACAAAATACACACAGCATACACTACCAGCCTAGCATCCTGACTTGGTAAAACAATACATACAAGTATATGCATACAGCTAATTGCATTCTTCTATATACACTCACAAACAACCCATACACACACACTGTACAGATATGCAGAGGAAAGGATACAAAAACTACGTACACTCAATCGTCTTACCCCGAGATCAAGGTTTGCTAACTGGACGCCTGTAACACTGACAGAAATGCAGGGATTCTTCGGGGTCATTATCAACATGGGCCTGATCCAATTACCTACCCTTGAGTCGTACTGGAGCTCTTCCTGGACAGGAAACATCCCATTTTTTAGCAAGGCGTTTACCAGAAATAGATTCGAGCAGATTTTCTGGATGCTCCATGTGAGTCGAGACGATCCGCAAAACCCTGGAAAGAAGATAAACAAGGTCAAAGACGTTCTCGATATGCTCATTTACAATTTTCAAAAGGCGTATTCTCCTAGTCGGAACCTTTCAGCTGATGAGACTATGGTGGGCTTTCGTGGGCGGTTTGCAGCTAAACAGTATATGCCAGCAAAGCCCAACAAATACGGTAAAAAAGCGTTCACGCTTGCAGATAGCACCAACGGGTATGTCCTAAACACCCTCATCTACACTGGGAGAGACACACTTGATACAGCCGATGTTGCTTATTGTCTTCTCCCCCAGCCAGCGCGCATAGTGCTCCACCTTTTAGAGCCATATCTAGACAAAGGGCACACGGTCATAACCGATAGATATTACACCAGCTTGCCACTGGCTATGACACTAGAGCAACATGACACTGGTTTCATTGGGACAGCCATGAAGAACCGGATTGATTTGCCTGATACGATAAGATCACCATCTTTTCGCTTGGCTAATGACGAGATTATGGCATTTCGTAGCAATCGGCTTTTAGCACTTGGATGGAGAGCAGCTAAAAAAAAGAAGCCAGTTATTATGGTTAGCACAGAGAGCTGTGCTAAGCCTACTACAGTTACATCTGTAGCAACGAGACGTGCTAGCGTGAAGCCAAAAGTAGTGGATGACTATAATCGTTCGATGAATGGGGTAGATAAAGCCGACCAGTACACAGTGTACTATTCCTTCATCAGAAAAAGTGTGAAATGGTGGAGAAAGCTGTTCTTTTGGCTATTCGAAGTCACTATAGTCAATAGCTACTTCCTATACTGCGCACACACAGCAACCCCATGCACTCATCTTCAATTCCGGCAGAGTCTGGTAGAAGCCCTTGTGTCATCCCATCTCGCTGCAGCTCCTCCTCGTCCTCGTCTCGGCCGACGAAGAAAGCGTACTCAGTCATCGTCTGAGAGATTCAACCTAGAGCTAGGCCACTTTCCTAAACGGGGGAAAATGAAAGAGTGCGAGTATTGTAGTGACGCTACCCATGGTGCTCGAAAACGAACATCTCTCTACTGCAAAGCTTGCCCAGGCAAACCTAGCCCCTGTGCTGAAAGTTGCTTTGAACTCTATCATACCCCTTGAACATCATACATGTATGTACTAACTCACTAACTTCTACTACTCATGTATAGTCTTACACAGAGACAGAGACACAGTATTCCCTACCTAACTACTGCAGCGCGTGCAACAGCGTTCAACTAAACATATGCGTAAATATACTCACAAAAGTTCGATGGAATGACTACAGCAGACACTCAGGGACTTGTTTCTACTTCACTGGTCAGTCAGAAGAGCTGCCTCTCCTTTCTTCTCCGCGGTTTGCAGGGCTTACGGCCGCTCACACGTGTGAAACGCACGAAGGAATTAAGGCGCATGCGCGCGTGAAAAATTCCGCGTACGCGCATAAATCTCCGTATTTCTCCGCGGCGTGCAAAGTGAACATTAATCTAGACCCAGCATCACTATTCCCATGCAAGTACTTTTTGAACTCTACCACCTTGTTAAATGTCTATACAATAACAGCTTTACTTTGCTATTTTCTAATCTCCCTTCTCATTAATACTGTCCCCTACTATAGACAAAAAGCCCTTCAGGAGCAATCCCCATTTTGAATGTCATGCAGCCACTCTGCCTTGTCAAGACCTAATGACAAAAAGAGATCATCAATCACCTCACTCCAACACTTCCTCTGCCTGCCTCTCCGTGGCTTAAAATTCCAATCCTGGTTAAAAAGCTTCTTCGGATACCTATTGCCTGGCAATGCCGCTAACTTATACCACCACTTCAACTTATTCTTATCCCTACGCCCTTGTAACAAGCACCATATCCCCCTTAACGGCTTCATTACATGTCTTAGACGAACACCCAAGAATATGCTTAGCTCCTCTCAGCATCACGGACTCATGAAGAAAGAATGCATATGTCTCCTTCCCCCCCTTTAGTCTACCCTGCGCGAGTTCATTCAGTGTATAAATATTATCAGCACAATCCCTTCCAACCCAGCCTGGCCCTCATTCAATGCTTTGCCCTTGTCCAGATGATTCACCAATCTATTCTTCAAAACCTTACAAAAGACCTTCCCAACCACACTCAGCAGAGTGATCCCCCTATAATTCCCAGGATCCTCTTTATCTCCCTAGTTAACTATGAGGCCCTCCCTCCACTGTGGTGGCGCAAACTCCTCACGTCAAATTACTGTAAACAACTGTTTAAGTAACTCTACCATCCCTGACCCACCATACTTTAGAAGCTCCCCCACAAGCCCATCACTACCCCAAGTCTTGTGTCGGCCACCGTAGCAATGTGTTCAGTCTTATTTTGTTTAGAATTCCATGCTCGCTTACTAACCAGTTATATTATGATTTGGTACTTCATAACCATTGTCTCTATATACACCTTGCATAAAGTAAAAGTGGCTACGTACAATAATTATAGGACTTCTGTGGCAAAAAATCAACATGAGCAAACACGTTAGTTTGAGATATGTATATATAGCCATCATAAAATGTACTACTGCATCACATGCACTAAGACTCATCCCTTTATGTGGCGTCATTTAGGAAAAGGGCCCCTTAATGAGCAATTTTTTTAAACGATTGAACCACATAGCTAAACACTCTCAGAGTTCAATCCCGGATGCGAGTGGATTTGTAGTGAGGTAGCTAGCGCCAGCTAGCTATGTATGTCAATTTCACTGACATTATTTTCTTGCTCACTCTAATTTTACGTATTACCGAAAATCGAAAAAGCGTATTGCGTGATACAAAGATGGAACAAACACTGAAACTACACCCCTAGTGATTTCTGTTTTATTAATTAATAGCTTGACGTTACCTTTATCGGCATTCAAAGTTTTTCACTCTTTCACTTCTCAAAGTTACAGGGCAGTGAATAGAAGTTACATGACCAGCAGACTGAATAGGGCGTTTCTCAATTTGTTTTTAATTTCCGAGTATGCTGTATCCCGGTAAGCATATCTCGAAAAATGTATGACAGTTCCCCCCATTCTTTTTCAGCAAAGAGAAGAAAAGTTTATCACAAAACTCGATATCTGTAAAACCTTTTCCAAGAGCAGGTCACATTTTAGAATTTTCAAGGATAAGTGCTGGCTGCGGCGTATAGCTAACTGGACATTCGATTCCAAAAATACCCGGTTTCGCAACCAGAAGCTACTATGTAAGTATAATTATGCCTATATGCTCGCAAGAGCTATGATGGCACTATCAGAGCGTCAGTAGGGATGGCACAGGTCAAATCTCACGTCAAATCTCACTTGATCCGCGTACAAAACGCCTTGAAACTCAGCGAGAATGCATAGCTATATGCCTTCAAAACACACCAATAATCACTCATGGGCCCATATCTACCTATAGCTACATATGCCCAAAAGTTTCATACACCCCTTCAATTCTCGACTGCTGCAGCTACTAACTTAAGTTTCTGGAGTTGGGCCACAGTTATATTATACTCATGGTAGCTACACCCCTTCAAGTTGTCTGCACGCCCTCACTGCCTATGTTTGACTTTTGTTCAATAGCTGTTTTTGAGGTGCCACACGACACTCCTTTCTGTCCTTGGGTGTACCTACTGCATTTTGCCTGAGTTTGTACTGCACCTTGTGCCTATATCCCAGATCTTGCTTTGCTGACAGTCGTCATCGATAAAAACATAACTCCCTGTCTGTGTCCTGACCCAGTTGTATTTATCCCCTCGGCCTCTAGCTTGCTGAAAGTCATGGCACAAGAACGCTACCATATTCATTGAATTGCAAGGCCCTCGACTGCACTCTCGCCATCTTTACCTTGGACATCGTCATTCTTGGCAAAATTTTTGTTTTGGGCACCATCTTTACTTTCGGCACCATCTACCACTGCTCTGCTGTCGTCACTGCCACCGGGCATCTCCATCTTTGAGATAAATTCAATTGTTGTTTTTTATCACTCGAAATGAAGGAGGGCATGTTTCAGTAGATATTATGTGCAGAATTCCGAGAATATAAAGGGCTAGAGGTAGATCCCTTTGTCAGGCCCTAAGGTAAAGGCGGTGACTAAGTAACATTATATATACCCACCTAAACATGAAGTTCAAAGTTCATTTTGCAGGACCTGAGGGGCATATGCATACAGTCAAACAGTCAAAGTATACGGAGGCACGGTCGCCACATGCGCAGCGAGGGTTACAGACACTCCGTCCATCTCTCCGTATGTTACCACGTTTTCTGCCACTACGCGCAACAGGTATAATTATAACACCAATGCGTTCAGCACAGGCTTCATTTTAAAAATGGAGAATTTCGTTAAAAGTCCTGTGAAAACCAAGCCAACAAGCCTCATGTTGAAGGTCTATAGACAAGAAGTCACAACGAAGGGCGTGTATCGACTAACGCAAGTTACTACTACTGTCGCTGGCCCCTGTCCGACTCTCCGCGAGCTACCGGCGGTAGACGACGAGTATATGCCTTATAGCCCCCCGCCCATCAATTAGCAGTAGGTATATACCGCGCAAGCACAGTTCGCCGAGGGTTTGCACTTCAGTGCTTTTCATTTTCTCTGCCGTATTATCTTACCACTAGACAGTTTATGTGAACTCTTTTCACAGTATTCTCACCAAAAATAAGGTGGGACTTGTTTTCGGCTTGCTTCAAACCACTATACTAGGAATGCGCACGCGCATATTTTTTCTCGCGCCAATGCGCGCGTAAACACTACCGCTCGTGCGCGCGCTCTACTGACTACGCGCGAAGCCAGACTTCCTACGAATCTGCGCGCACGGCGGAAGCTAGACTTCCTACGAATGACGGAAGTGACATTGACTAATTGACATTCTTAAGCGTTACCACGCGTACGTACGTACGCATATACAACAACCTGGAGTAGTTTCCTCACGCGCGCTCGGCAACAAAATGTAGTAGTGTTAGCACATGCGCGCAACCCTCGGCACGCATGCGCAGCGAGGGTTACAGTGTGTGTCTGTGTATCGACGCCTATTCTGGCACCACAGGCTACGAGGCGGCCTATTAGTGATACCAACGGCTTCAGAACTACGTGAGCCTGAAAAGTAAAAGGACTATTTTCCTGAAACGACTGCGTTCGAGAGATATGCCGTGAAACAAGCGAAAAAGCATAATCGCACTGGACTTACCCCGACCTGCCCTAAGTACCTTGGGGGCTCAAGAAGTCACAACGAAGGGCGTGTATCAACTCCCGCATGTTATCTACTTGTGTAGCTAGCCCGTGTCAGACTCTTCGCGAGCAACTAGCGTAGAGACCACGAGTAAACGCATACTAATAGTCAGCCCATCAATCAGCGGTGTCACGCATGCGCAGTCCACGGAGGGTTTGCACTTCAGTGCTTTAATTTTGCAGGGAGTTGCTATTTATCTACTTGCTGATTCTTGCCGTATGGAGTTTGTGCGTTCACTGTCCCTGAAGGAGGGCGTATCACATGAAGTTGAAAGAGTGGATACTTACTCCAGTGTTATGACACTGTTCACAATGAATCGAGAAGTAATCCTACAGGAGTAGCTACCCCCCTGAAAATTCGTTTTAGGGGAGAGAGAGCAGTTGATGAGGGTGGTGTCTCTCGAGATTTTTTTCCTACGTTTTATGATGCTGTTTATGCCAAGTATATATTGTGATGGTGTGTCGCTCCTTTGTCCTGTTGTCAACCCAGCATGTGAAAACATCAGAACTGAAAACGCTTGGGCTCGTTGTATCATGTGGCTATCGCCTTTCCGCTGTCCTTCCTGTTCGCATAGTATTTGCTGCCCTTGCAGCAAATTTGCTTCCAAAATCCCATGACTTACCCAAATCATGTCATGGTTGATTCATTCACTGGCATACTTAGTGCCCATGTTTCAGGTGTTATTCAATCTTGGAATAGCTAACATCCCTTATACACACTAGTCGTAAGGGTAAGTCCCAGATTTGGAGGATAAACAATATATACCTTTGCGTACCACTCACCCAGTCATCTCATTTTGGAGTGTGAGTAACATGTATAAACCACTGAAGATAGGACACTCTAACACAAAGAAAGCGAAAAGGTCCGGATTGAGACATGTCCTAAATGTCTCAGCAGGCTGAAATGCAGGCACAGAGGCTGTGCGTAGGTCGGCCGGCAGAAACTGATAGGCCATAGCGCGCGTGCGCGGCATGTGTCGATTGGGTAGAGTGGCGCATGCGCGCAGGAAGGCGGCCGCCGACGCACGCGTGATTCTACCTTGCGTCACTTCCGCGGGGTGTAGTATATACGAGGAGGCAAAGGCGTGCGTCCGTTAAAAACTCGCTCTCCCTGGATAAAATTCACTGCCAAGCAAGTTTAGACGCACTTTCAAGTGCAAAATTACTCCACTATAGCAGATTCCTTACCATGCTGAATGTTCAGGTATATATAATAATAATTTTGTTTTTCAATGATTGCCATACTCTTCTTGGTACAGTTGTTCTGCACTCTTCTGGCTAATGTTTTACTCACACAGTCGTTACAACGGTGAGTTTAGTCCGTTCGACTTATCCAGAATGATAAAGTAGCAAAATTTCACTTACTACAGCTGTGCTTGCACGAGTGCACTCTCGCTAACTTCTTCTATTGAAAGTGTAGGGATATATGTCACAGCATGTCCACAAACAAATGTCAATTTCTCCTGTTCTGCTACCCAAGTTTCTTCTATGATGTGGTTTGCTCTACCCCACCTCGATGAAGATGACACCATTGTCCTTTTTGCTTCACAGAATGTCTATAGTAGTGTGATCAATGATGTTTTTAACATCTCTCTAGTTTCTGTCGACAATAAGAGGGGTCCTATTGCAGATATTACCTCTCGATTAAGTATCAGGGTAGATGGAATTAATAATGGTACTAATGTTTCCTGTATTACTGTATCGAAGACGGAATCGAGGATCATACTTAAACAAGGTTTGCTTGTGTAAACATTATGCTGGTGTTTTTTTGTTATGCAAGGTTTTTTGTAATTGTTATTCTCATTTATGTCATCCCATCACTAGCTTTACTGCGGTAGATGCTTTTATTTTTCTTGCACAGTTCCTCCAGCACCATCAAGTTTCGTTACAAATGTGACCGACTTTTTACTATTGAGTGCCTCTGTTATTGTCTCATGGAAAATACCAGACCATACGCATGTCGACGGCTACAAAATAGAGTTTAATACCAGTAAGGAGACAGTAGTTTTTACGAATAAGACACAAGTTTCACTGGAAATTGACTACAAAAGAGTCCTGATTTACACAATTTCAGCCTTTAACTGTTACGGAAAAAGTGAAGATGTCGCTGATGAAATATTTATAGGTATAAAATCTGTGTTAGTACCATTGTGCTTAACAAATAACTATACTTTCAGCTGGTTGTGCTCCTCCGAGTCCACCAGTCAATGGGAGTGTTGGTGAGTTCATCAGTTCTAGAGTAGGAGCACAGGTCACCTACTCCTGTGACACCGACCTTGTCCTGGTGGGAGAGGCAGTAGCCACATGCTCCCTACCTTCTTTACAATGGATGCCGAGTATTGATGATGTTTCATGCATACAGCCACCAGGTATACACTGTTAGCTAGTTAGAGTTTGGTAAGATGTTAGAGTTCATATTATGCATGTTGCATTTTTCCAGAGTGTGGAAATCCAACCGAATACCTGCAAGCAAATATATCAATTAGTAGTCTCAATTCTTCAGTAGTAACAGTGTCATGCGCTACTGGATATGTACTTTATGGTAGCAAAACTTCAGAGTGTGTGCACGGTGAGTGGTCTCCCAGTCTTCAGACTATACTCTGCCTTCCTAGTGCAACTGTTACAGGTAAGGTCACTGTTATTGCCGGTAAAATTTTGTTTACTTTCACTCTTTAAAGAGTGCAGTTACCCAAATGGACTTTTGCAAAGCAATGTAACACTATTGGGAAACAAGTCCTTCCTTATTTTTGCCTGTGATTTTGGATTTGGTCTCTATGGCAGCACTACATCTCAGTGTGTATCAGGAGAGTGGATCCCTATTCCAGACTCTGTCACTTGCAGGAGTTTTGGTATTACTATTTTCATGTCATCTCTTTATCCTTCTTTCATTTCGTGTAGATGTATGCCCAACAAGTGGGTCTAATCCAGAAGAAAACATTTCAGCTGAAATATTGGCCATTATAGCTCTAGTGGGTGCAGTGTGTGGCTTCACAGCCGGATTGCTACTTTGCGCTCTAATCACTCGGTGTTACGTGTACTTCTGTGGAAAGGAAAAAAGATGCCAGACAGAAAAAGGCCATTTTTACGAGGACATTCCTTTACAGAAGACATCTGCAACTGAACCCGTTCAACTTAAGACTAATGAAGCATATGGGACACTTCTAATTAAAATAATGTGCCAGTTGTAGTTCGTTGACATAAGCAATGAAAAGCACTGAAGTGCAAACCCTCGGCGCATTGTGACGCGCACGCGTGAGTAAACGCATGCGCTGTATCACTAATTGATGGGCTGGGTTAGTTCTGGCTGTTACTCCTGACTCTAGCCATCGCGCGCAGATGTCTGACGCGCGGCTAACTACACACTCGACAGAACGCAGTTGTGAGAGGCGATACACGCCCTGCGTGCGTCATCTTCTGGTGCCTCCGAGGTCCATATTGCAATATTTGCATATTGCTTTTTCGTGTCTCATAGCGTTGCACGAGCACTTTCAGAGAACCGCCTTTATCTTTCTGACCGCTTCGTCGCCGTTGGGTGATGGTAGCAGTTTCTGGGACGAACAGACGTTCGAATAGTGAGATATAAGTAACAGACAAACAGACAAACAGACAGACTAATGAAAAGACTGATCAAACCTCGGCGCACTGTGACGCGCACGCGTAAGTAAACGGCATGCTCCTTACCACTATTGATGGCTGGGTTTAGTTTTAGCTGTTACTCTGGTCTCTTGCCAGCTCGCGCAGAGTCTGACGCGGGCTAACTACACTACTAGATAGCATAGCGAGAGGCGATCCACGCCCTGCGTTGCATCTTCTGGTGTGCCTCTGAAGTCACGCATGCGCACGACCCGCGGTAGCATCCCCGTCCGTTGCGTATTTGCATATAGCTTTTCGCGCTCTAGCTTTGTACCGGCGCATTTTTTCAGAGAAAACCCCCAACATTTTCTGACCGTTCGTCGCCGCTGGGTAGATGGTATCGATCTGGGACGAACAGACATTCGCGAGGTGAGATGTAGAGTACCAGACACACACACACACACACAAACTACAGTACCCTCGCTGCGCATGCGCGCCGAGGGTACTAATTAACAGCAGGTGTCTCCATTGAATAGGGTCAGAAGATCTGCTTAGCAAATTTAAGTTCTTTGAACTACTGAAATTTAAATTCAAGCCAGTGTAGCGCTGGACTTTTGTGGTAGTAAGAGACAGACAGACAGATGGACGGACGGACAGACACACACACTTACAAACAAGTAAAGTAGCTACTGTAGCATATGCTAGAAGGCGAATGCAGGGCATTTTGGCGAGCGGGAGCGAGCACAAAATGACTGTATCTGCACGAGTCATCTCAGCCTATTTACAACTTACATCTTGTAACCACGAAGATTGGAAGGAGGTATAATTATACATACAGCCTCGGTCAGGCACCGAAGAGTGCAGCGAATGCCGTTGAATGATGGAAAGTTCTCTCGCTGCGTAGATCGCGCATGAGGGCAGCGTGTAAAAACGTGCGTAGTCCTGACGCGCGCATGCGCAGTTGAACGACGTACGGACCTATCGCGCCGTTCGGACCACTAGGTACTGGGTTAGCTCGCTCCCGCTCACCAACAATAAAGATTTACCAATGTTTGAAGGTCCAAACTCCAGAGTTGCACAGCGAACACTGAAAACAGGAGCTTGAGTGGCAGAGTTCCATGAAATATATGCAGGCAAACTTCATGGAACTTTGCCACTCAAGCTCCTGTTTTCAGTGTTCGCTGTGCAACTCTGGAGTTCCTTCTAACAGTTCATGCTTGTACAAACCACCCAAGCGAAAAGGAAAACCTTCCTTACGATCATCTCATACCCTTCTCATTCATGCAGACTCTGCCGTGTCTATTTTTCGTAATGTAAACGTGTTATAAGTAACAGTTTTTGGACCTTCCAACATTGGTAAATCTTTATTGTACCACAGAAGCCCAAGGCACCGCACGCAGTGTATTCGCACTAAGACAACTCATTAGTATGCATGCCATGGTGTATGGTGTGCTGACTCAGCCATACACTCACATGCGGTATATGAGCTCTCATACACCATGGCATGCATACTAATAAGTTGTCTTAGTGCGCATTCCTGTGGTACAAATTGGTTACACTACACCCACTCGACGGTTTAGTGCATACATTACTCGTGCTGCGCACTCGTAGTGTATGTCCACTAAACCGTCTCGTGGGCATAGTGTAACCTAGCGGGAGCGAGCTAACCCAGTTGTTAGTGGTCCGAACGGCGCGATAGGTCAGTTGCGGAATGGAATTTGATGATGCAGCAGTAGTGCGAAGATCATTGGTATGAATGCCACTGCCCATGTAAGTCCCTATCACATGAAGGGCACATTCACTTTCCCTCAATCATTTCAGGAGCATATCCATCACTGCAAGAAACAAGGTTGGAGAAGGACAGAACTTTGTTTAATATACCTCGAGCAATGTTGAAGCAGCTGGATATGTGGCCATTTACTTCAACTCGGGCAGAGCACGTTGAATTACAGTGCTTTAACAAGTGCCAGAGACAATGAAGGAGCAATACCAAAAGGTTCAGCGCTATACCGGCTTGATATTAAATTTGGCGATTTTCTTAAAACTACTGCGTTCGAGAGTTATGGCGTGAAAACCAAGTGAACAAGCCAATATGCAAATTAGTATTGGCTTACCTTGACCGGATTCTGCTGTTTGTGCTCGGCGGAGGCATAAGATCAACAGAAGACGAGTGTAGAGTGCAGCAAAACCTAAACGCTAGTTTAGCTAGCGAAAGATAAATCTAAACACCAATTGTAATGCCGTACATGCTCGATCTGTTGAACATTGATATGATTGTATATATGCTACTTGTATAGTCGAGGAGCCCACCCTAGTCATCTGTTCTATCTGGTCATTGGCTGTCACATCTCATAAGTCGGCTGAAGTTTTGAAATCCTGTTGGTTTGCAAAAAAGGTGATGAATTCATTTTAGAAGAAAAAATCTGGGGAGCTAGTACACCAGCAGCGAGGATAATAATAATATGCTTAATTCTCCCACCACTACTCAAACCTGTGGGTCATAGCTACAGTGCTCCACATGAATCTTGGCTCAGTCATGCATCATGTAGCTAATGTGGACAAATAGCATAATACAGTAGAACCTCATTGCAATCAAGCCAGTGTATAAATGAAGCTGTTGGTATCGCTATTTTTATTTTCTCGTGGTAGAGAACGTGGTAACAGACAGACAGACGAATGACAAAACCAAGTGCTGTAACCCTCTCTGTGCATCCGAGGGTTAATAACACTGCAGTCAAAACTCAAAACCAAGGAGCTGTCAGAGAGGGCAACACCATTAAACAAAATAAAATAATGAGTTAAATAAGTCATAGCAGTATACAACGTTTATGCTTCCTGAAAAAAAACAGTGCTTGTGTGGAGGAAAATGAACACAAATATCAGCAGCATGTAGCCATCATCTATGATCCATCACATACTCTAGGTCGTCCTGTCTCCTCCAAAAAAATATGGGAATGTGTGACGCCAGAAAATTCTAAATGTGTGCATGCGCAGTTGTGTAAGAGTATTGTATAAAAGTTGTATGTCCTGGTCAGTAGGGAGCTCTCTCCCTGATCACTGTACTCAGTGGTGACTATCCGCAAGTACTGTTGCGCAAAGTACCGATAGCAGGCCGAGGGAGAGTGCTACGATCACCTCCAGCGAAGGCCTTGGACGCTACAACTGGGGGCCTGTCCAGGATTTATTTGCACAAGAAGGCCTGCGAGGAGAATTACCAGCGCAGCCACAGAGACAGCAGTGGACAGAACTCAACCACTACAAGCCACGGATTGGGACACAGAACAGCAGTCCAGTGGGGGACGTGGAACACCTGTTCAGGACAGAGGGCACCGTAGTAGTCAATGCTGAGGAGCACAAATTCTTCTGGATCTTGGCAACCGGGACAACGGCCATGGACAGATGGTGGAATCCTATGGGGTGCTGGTACTGGGCCTCAGTGGAGGGAGTGTAGACGAGATGTGGGGTGCGAGAAAGAGACCCAAACCTGAGTCGAAGTGGGTGGTGGGGAAGTGTTGGTTGGGGAAGATGTCGGAATGGTTGGTGAACACAGAGGTAAAGCCCTGCACGAAAGGGCCCCTGAACATATCCTACCAGACAGCTGGATGATGGCTGGCGCCTCTCTTGTGGGAGGCGGTGGGAGAAGTAGATGCAAGAGGGGAAAACACTCAGATGACAGCCTCAACAAACAGACCCCGAGTAGTGTCCCTTTCAGAGCCAACGACCCAGCTTTCACTGCAGGACCCCTCATTCCAACAAGCAAGTGTAAATAACGGTGTACAGGGAGGGATCCCCCACAGCTTTGTTTCCCAGGCCCAAGTTCCAGGGGTGGGTTTTCAGCCTGTGTACCCTCCCCAACCACGGAGGTATGCCACCCCTAAGTTAGGCGCTATAACCCGACCTCAGGTGCCTGTGTATGTACAAGTTAGTGGTGCACAAAGACCACAAAATCCATGCCACCCCTAAGTTAGGCGCTATAACCCGACCTCAGGTGCCTGTGTATGTACAAGTTAGTGGTGCACAAAGACCACAAAATCCATGCCACCCCTAAGTTAGGCGCTATAACCCGACCTCAGGTGCCTGTGTATGTACAAGTTAGTGGTGCACAGAGACCACAAAATCCAGTTGGAGACAAACCTCAAGTTAGTATTTATCAAGGTGAAGGGGTGAATAGTAGGCCACAAGGGTCAACAACAGTCGCACAAAAATCTGTCAGACACCCATTAGTTATGCCACAGCCTGAAATCCAAGAGGGGCTTAGTGGCCTTATGTTTGGGGGTGGGTATCCGACTACAGTGTCAAGTGCTTCAGGAACTGCACCTGGGGCACTTCAAGCTCAGCCAGGGGTGTTGGGGTTACGAAGTACCGCGTTACCAGAAATGGGCCAGACGCAAGGCCCCCTGAACTAAGACACCCTCAGACCCCACCTCCATGTAGCTACTTCCCCTTTTCCTGTGTTCTCGGTGCCATTATGGGCCAAATCCCGCAGATTCCCTGTTTCACCGAGGATGGGTGTGCCACTGGGCAGTCCTTCACTGAGTGGCATGAACACTTTGAAAATGACTGGTGGGGTGGGACGAACACTGGAAGTTGGCACATCTAACCTCCAACCTAAGAGACACAGCGATGGCATTCTATCGATCATGCCATGTGGATATATGCAGTAACTACGATCAACTCGTAGCGGCTATGAGAGGCGGTTCACGCCTATTCGCCTGACAGCCGTACAAGCTCAACTCTTCCATAACCGCCAACAACAGGACAAGGAAATTGTCGACCAGTTCGCCCAGGAACTACAAAAGCTTTACAACATGGCCTATGCCGGAGCGGCCAGTGGGGGACCCCACGCCGAGAGAATGGGACTAGCGATTTCCAACCTCGAAAATTTATCAAAACATTTTACTGGCAAAGGCGTCTTACTACCGCGGTGCTCTAGAGTGGATCGGTATCTATCACGCAAAATTTGTTCGAAGAGAATTGACAAAGGATATCCGGAGTTACGCTCTTCGTAATCTAGAGTTACGTAAACTTCCGTTGAAATAGTGCGGGCACGGCACCGAGCACGTATGGTGTACAATAATTTGCTTTCCGCGGTTTACAAGATGATATACTGCCGGATTGATCGATTCTGAGAAAATTAGACCCCCTGAATTCAAATTTGGGGACTGTTTTTACCGTAAATGCGGCTATTTCGAAGTAAGTGGTGTGAATATACAATAATTTTTGGTATAGTGTATGTAGCGGGGGGAGACTATTTGTTACAGCTATCTACACATGCACGAGATAACGTAGTATACGCTAAAAATTTTAAAACATCACACTATATACTAGCTCCGGATCGTCATTGAAGTCACTGCTCTTTTCAGGCAGGATGTATAGTCGAGTAAACAACGATTTGATGTAGCTTTGAACCTAAAATAAGTCGTATTTCTTTGCTGCGCTTTCTTTAGTCAAAATACGTTCTGTCGGCCGCTTTCGGGCGTCTTTTAGAACGCGTTCACGTGACAGGATATTCCGCTCAATCTAGTCATCCACGCCACACTTATTTGCGCGACTACATGGACTGAGGGTCGGGATCCAGCGTCCGTGCTGGCTTGTCGTCGTGGTGTTGATCTGCATATGTGTGAAGGTTTGTCTAAAGAATCCAAAAGTAGCTATAGTCCTTACTAGCAATGCCTTTTCAGTTCCCCTGGAGAGTCTGACAGGGGCTAACGACAGTAGTAGATAGCATGTGTGAGTTGATACACACCTTTCGTTGTGATTTCTTGTGCCTTCAAGATACATAGGGCGAGCGGACACGGTCGAGGTAAGCCTGTGCTAATTAGCTTGTTGACTTGGTTTTCGCGTTTTTATAACGCTCGAACGCAGCAGTTTCACGAAAATCTGTATTTTAAAATGAAGCCAGTGTAGCGTTGAACCTGTTGGTGTTGCTTTATGGTCGGTTTGTTGCATGTGGTGGCAGAAAACGTGGTAACAGACACAGACAGACAGATACACCAACCAAGAACTGTAACCCTAGTTGCGCATGCACGCTATTGAACCTTTAAGCCTGTTCTCCCAACAATGAGTGAGATAATTCATAACCCCACCCTTGCAACTTAAGAAAACAGGTCCAGTTGGTGTCTCATAATAATCACTTGTTTTTGAAACATGCAATACATCTCCTTCCCCCTTAAGAAACTATTAGCAAAAAAGTTTACAGAATAGTATAATTACTTAGCTACTATATATGCACCCGAAACATTCACTCGCTAGGTAAAGTCAGTTAGAGTCTGTTGTTAGAAACATTCTAAGATTTTTAGCTAATTCCTCCTGCTTAAACTTGCTTTGCAAGGTTTCAACCAGCCAGTGGCCCACATCAGCGAGAGACAAAATTCCATACTTGCTAAGATCAGTAGATGTCACACCAGATGGGTGTTTAAACGAATAGAAAGCAACTTCAGTTGTTGGAGGGTCATCAAGCTTTAGGTGCTTCTGGATGTGCTGCACATGTGTTTGAATAGCTGATTGAGCTGAAAAGAATAGAAAATCTTACCATTAGTTCACTGTCAATACTTGATTCACTTTGGTCATCCCTGCATTCCTCATAAAGCACATCAGCATAGGTTAGGCAGACTAACATAGGAACACCAGTCTTGGTGAGCAACTGAAGCCAATGCTTCACAGGATCTGAACAGGCTTTTCTATAAAAAGACAGAAACAATGAAAGTAAGCCTCAACAGCATAGTTAAAACTGTGCTGTGTTTGTATGTGCAATTAGACACTAATAGATTACCTATAATCCACAACAAATACAACAATTTGGGCAAGGGAGAGCAACAGGCGTGCCATATCAGGAACAGAATTGTCACTGTCATCAACTCCAGGGAAGTCAATCACATCTAGGCCCTCAATCTTGCCCTCAAGGTTGTATAAGAGGGGTACAGTAGTGCGTTTGACAGCTCTGGTACCAACTTTAACTTTCTAAAGTAGAAATAAAAAAATAAAAATACTCAGGTGGCTGCCATAGCACTAGGGCTATAGACCACGCACCCAGAGCAATGGGCGGAACCATTAACAAACGAACATACACCATATGAACATGAGGTGTCTGTCTCACCTCCCAGACACCTCAACCTCACCCCTTCCACCAGTGACACCCTGCAGCTCCCCAGACGCAATCTGAGACTGGGTTTGTTGTACGCGGGGACTATCACTGTATAACCTAACCTTTCTTAGCTCCCAAACGTCCAAAATAAAATCCTTAACAAGGCCAAGCAAAGAACCAAATTTATCCTTCCACAGTTCACTACCCAATATAAAGGATGCTTTCCTGAAACTATCAAGCGACTGGAAATGCTCAAACCCATCATCCCCAAGCTTCCCCTACAGGGCAACTAAGAAATTACTCCTAAGACTACTATATGCTGGACACTCCCACAACACATGACTCACACTTTCACACTCATCATCACACAACAGGCACTCCTTCACCCCCTCCCTCCCCCTATGCCTACCCAGTTCCTCATTTAGCCCATGCGTGCCTGACCTGAACTTATACATTAATCTAGACCCAGTATCACTTTTCCCATGAAAGTACTTTTTGAACTCTACCACCTTGTTAAATGTCTTATACAATAACAGCTTTACTTTGCTATTTAACCCCTCTTCAAACTTTCTAATCTCCCTCTCATGAATACTGTCCCCTATTATACACAGAAAGCCCTTCAAGGAGCAATCCCCATTTTGAATACCATGCAACCACTCTGCCTTGTCAAGACCTAATGATGAAAAGAGATCATCAATGACCTTACTCCAACCCTTCCTCTGCCTGCCTCTCCGTGGCTTAAAATTCCATTCCTGATTAAAAAGCTTCTTCGGATACCTATTGCCTGGCAATGCCGCTAACTTATACCACCACTTCAACCTAATCTTATCCTACGCCCTTGTAACGTATCAAGCCCCATATCCCCTCTAACGGCTTCATTACATGTCTTAGATGAACACCCAAGAATGCGCTTAGCTCCTCCCAGCATAACGGACTCTAACGCAGCTGCCTGAGTCTTATTGGCTTCCCACACCTAACCCTCATACATAAAGTTGGCCTAACCACCGCCAGCAACCTGCGAGCACTCAAATTAATATCCCTATTACTAATTACACTATGCTACTGATTAACCTTCCTTCTACCATTGTGTAACACATTCTTGATATGCACATCCCATGCACCAGTACTAGTAAAATCAACACCCAAGAATGTGTATTTAGATACTCTAGGCAAAGCATACTCCCCCCATTTCCAGGCACTATCCACTGACTCCCTAGCTAACACTGTCACTGCACTCTTACTAACATTAGCCTTTAGCCTCCATTTTCGACAGTAGGCATGCACCACATCTATAAGCGTCTGTAACTGATCCTTAGACTCACTAACACCAACGAAGTCATCTGCAAACAAAGGTCCTCCAAGTCTCCCACCACTACTTAAATCGATTCCATCTCAGCTTCTCCACCTCCCCTCAACAACCCATTGATAAATACGGAAAACAAAATTGGAGATAAGCTACATCCTGAGCTACCCCTGTTCCACATCAATGCCTCTGACCGTTCCCCATCCAAGAATACAGCACTCATTGAATACTCGTACATCTTCTTTATGACCCTCCACATCTTCCCTCTTACCCCAAATTCCCACAACTTAAACCACAGGCCGTTACGCCACACACTATTGTATGCCTTCTGCACATCTAGAAAGAATGCATATGTCTCCTTCCCCTCCTTTAGTCTACCTGCACGAGTTCATTCAGCGTATAAATATTATCAACACAACCCCTTCCAACCCTAAAACCAGCCTGGCCCTCATGCAATGCTTTGCCATCGTCCAGATGCTTCACCAACCTATTGTTCAATACCTTACAAAAGACGTACCCAACCACACTCAGCAGAGTGATGCCCCCATAATTCCAAGGATCCTCCTTATCTCCCTTCTTAAACAGGTTAACTATGAGGCCCTCCCTCCACTGTGGTGGCACAAACTCCTCACGCCAAATTACTGTAAACAACTGTTTAAGTAACTCTACCATCCCTGACCCACCAATGCAATCTCCTCCAAATCTATTTCCCTATCCAATACATTTTCCACACAATCTGTTGGAAACTCACACACTTTCTTATCCACTTCCTTTTTCCAACTATCATCAAAGGCTGTATTAACACTACAAGTGCCAACTGCTGATAATGCCTCTTTAATACCTCCAACTTGCCCTTTGTACTAGTCACTGACACACCCCAGCACTATTCCTCAAAGCTGTAACCCCCCTTGTCCTTCTACCAACAAATGCCCAAAATTCTTTCCTATTACCTTCAAAATCTAAATTTGCTCTTTCCACTACCTCGTTCCATACCTCAAGCTTCTTCTGAACAACTAAATTCTTCACCTCCCTATGCAGTTTACTATATTCCTCCCATAGATAATCCTGACCCTCAAGAATATTCTTGTAAGCCTCCCTTCTCTGCTCTATCTTCTGCTTAATCTCATCATCCCACCACCTGACTGCCCTGCCACACACTACTACCTTCTCTCCTACCTCAGCCTTTGGCACTTTCTTTACAACTTGCTCCCACTCCTCTATAACGGCACTGACTAACCCACTTCCACCAATACCCTCACTCGCTTTCTCCCTGATGCTCTCTGAAAAAGATTCAACCTCCGCTTTCAAGGCCTCCCTATACTTCGCTCTAACCCCCTCATCCAAAAATCTGTCTACACGCCACTTCCTTATTGTCTGCTTCTGCCTTTTACAACACTTCGTAACCCGGCCCAACTCCAGCCACACTAGAAAATGATCCGAGGCACCAATATCAGTTATATTAACCTGTACATCACCGGATTCCCCTCATCAACTGCATATCCGTAACTATATAATCTATCACTGATTTCTGCTGCAGGCTCGGCCTTACTCTGGTCCACTCAGGCTCCGACACTAACTTCCTACCATTACATATCACCAGCTCCACCTCATTCAAGAATGAAATCAACCTATTTCCACTGGCATTACAAGTCTCCTCCCCAAACATCCCAATGACATCATCAACATCAGTAGATCTACCCACCCTCGCATTAAAATCACCAAGAAGAACAACCCTCCCCTTCTGCATGAATCCAAACACACCCTCCTTAAACTTGACGTAACTATCCTTAATAACAGAAGCACAAGCACTATCTGTAGGCATGTAAATGCAACACACATACAATGCTTCCCTCCAACTCCCACCTCGAACCTTCATCCACACGCTCTCCTCATACCTGACTTTACTTACAAACTCTACCTCGTCTATCAAGCACTCCCGAACCAAGAACCCAACCCCTCCTTCCCCTCTACGACTACTCTGATTCTCACGAGGCTTTCCAAACCATCTATAGCCATCAACCGCAACTGCCTTTCCCTCCCTCTCCCAAGATTCCTGACCAGCTACTACATCAATCTTGAGCCTTTGCAAAAGCTCCCCTACCTCTCTCTGTTTACGCTCACTACAAAGGCCTGAAAAATTCCATGTAGCGACTCTTAGCCTTCTGTCCTTTTTACCTTGGCCACTTATCCTCTCACTAACAACTGAAAGGTTCACTTCACTGCCTTCAGGCACACCAGCTGCACACTCATCCACACTATCAGCTAGCTGAGAAAACCTATTAACACACTGAACGGCAACGTGTACAGCCTCTTTAACGGGGCAGGTTTCATCTAACACGCATCTACACCCAATCTTCCGAACACAGGCTGAAATTTGCGCCACAACCGCCTTACTAAGGCCCTTACTATCCTTATGCAGTAACACTAACCTGACGTGATCGCCCACCAAAGCAACGCATCCCCTAGAGAAACCGACTAATCCTATATGGGCGAGATTCTCCCGTATTTCCAGCGTTGACAAGCTTTTAGGCATTCCCCACAAAATGATATTCGCCCTAGCCCGTTTATTGCAACTGACAAGCCAGTCTTGAGCAGACTTAGTCCGGGGACAAAAGAATAAAAAAACACTACTTAAACGTCTATCATTAGTTTCTTGCCTCAATTTTGAAAAGTTCCTTAACCAGCAAAGATTTTCCAGAATTGACTAATCCTGTGACGCCAATGCATGTATATTCAGCAAGTGCCTCACGTAGGTTGTGGATAAGTAGAGTCCACTTCAACCAGCGAGCTACTAAGGACCTGTGTGACCTACCAATGAGGGAAAGGGCATCATTTTCAAACAGTTTGTCCCATTGTGTAATAAGCTGCTTGAGTGAAAGATTCTTGTCGAACTTGATATTTTTGAAGAGGTGATGTTCCAAGGAGTAGCTGATATACTGGCTACTGGCTGTAACAGTTTCCTTAATTCCTTGCAATAAGAACTGAAGCTTTCCTGCGTACATTTTGTTTTCATAATCGGATGTCTGCTCACTAACACTTTCAATATATTCCTTTATTTCAATAACAAGAGCACTGTGATTTGAAGCAAAGAGCATCTCTTGCAAGCTTCGCAAATTCTGGCTAAAAAGTGCCCATACACCTACTGCGACTGGAGCTGCATCGGATAATACTTCTGCTGTTTCCTTTAGGGAATCATTAATGAGTGGAATACGAATCTGCTGCTCCATAAATGCTCCTAACAGGGAGGCACACACAGCAACATCTTCATTGTAAATTTTGTCAATTAGATTCAGCATTCTCCTGTTAGACGTTTCTGTCCGTGAGGGATTTTTTCTCTGTGTTTCTTCAGTGTATTTCTCGATATCTTGCATAGCCTCTCTCAAGACTTGTAACGGTGACTTAAAATATTGTTTACGCCTTGTTCCAGCGACAGGGTAAACTTCTTCGATATTTGTACTGCCGACAGCACTAATAGCATGCACAGAAGGTCGTTGCTTTAGTAAGGCTGTCACACAACCATTAAGGTACTTAACTAGGTCTGGAGGAAAAGGCATTGGTTGTTGAAATCCATCGACTACAACCGGAATGGGTACTGGAATAAATGGTGGAGGCCTAAGAAGTATTTTGATTGGTTGTGGCTGAACTAGTTGCGGTGAAGCCACTTCCTTCGACACAATACTTTTAGATTCGGATGAACCCTTACTTGCTACAGCTGAATAAGAAGGCTTCTTTACCTTCTTTTTAGATGGTACCCTTGTAGATTGCTTTTGGCCATCTTTGTTAGTTGGATTACTCTCGTGGTGCTGTCCATCCCATTCACTTGAGTCATCTGGTAGTTGTTGAGGCTGAAACTCAGAGAAGTAAGAGGAGAGCAGATTGTGTGTCAACATAAGTGGTAGAATGAATTGATCAATTACATCCCCACGATATCCTGAACTGGCACGAGTTGCAGCAATACCAGCACCAGCGATCATCTGCTGTGAAAACTGCAAATTTGGATTCCTTTGTTTAAGGGCTGTCGCACATTCAAGGGCAATATGATGATCCTCATAAGCTATTGCATCAAACACACTCTCAAGTGGGACAACTTTTACCACTTCTTCAAGGAAGCATGCAACAGCTTTGTAACGCTTTGATGTTGAATCAAATGGCTGTGTGCGCTGTTCTAGCAGTGCGCACAAGTAGGCCAATTGGATTACTTCGGTTGGTGTGTGCATTGCAAGCTGAATCTGTCTAACAGAGAACAAATGAGATTCCTGGAGAAGTAAAATGTAAAGAGCATAAATACAAGCAAAAAATTATAAATAGTTGCATTACCTTCTTCGTATCAATTGACTGGCGAATTGGTTTGGCAAAGTGAGTAAAGAGAACAATCTTCACCTGCTTTCCAGAGCAAAGAGTTGAGTAGGCTTTGTGATCGTGTGAAATGCGAAACTCTATCATTGACTTCGTAGTACTCTCAGCAGGAGTTTCAATTACCCCATTATCATCTACAGAAATTTTGTATGCAAACCACAGGTTTTCTCCTTTTAGAACAAGTACATGCTCATTATGATACTGATGGATATCTAAACCAGTAATTCTGGGTTTTAAAACAGCCATGTCATTTATTACTTTCGTAGGACTTGGAACTGAATATTCATATTGAAGATGACTCCTGTATAAAATCACCATATATCCCGCCATGGCGTGCTGCAAAAACCAAAAGAAGAAATGAGAGTTAGATTATTTCAACACTCTTACTATATACCAATTTAAAGAGCTCTTCATCCACGGTCACAAGCTTTGTTCTTTGGCTTAATTCTATTGCAGCCAAATGCTTTGGTTGCTGTTGCCACTTGACACCCTCTTCCTTGTCATTGGTAGATATTATGTAACAATTTCCATAAAGGATGCCTTCAATTTGCTCAATGTAAAAAGCTATTTCTTGAAGCGTTTTCTTCAAATCCTCTACTGCATTATGCGCTCTCCTTTTTGAATCCTGCTGGGACTTTTTAGCTGCTGCTGAGTGAGCCCTTGAGGACACCTATAATAAACAAATCACTACACTGTTTCTTTAATAGACCTATTAAAACATACCTGTGGTAAATATTTCTGAAGAACAGCGAGATTTTTAAGGTATTTTTTCACTTTGACAAATTGGTTGCCAAAAAGGTCATCCTAAAAAGAATACTGTAAAATGAAAAAGTAAAAAAAAACACTCTTACTGGTTGACTGCGGAACTCTGCGAGGCGTCTTTGTTCTTCACTTGGAGGAATTATAGCAAATTTTGGTGGATATCTAGCAACAACATCCATGCAACTAATCATTAATGGCACATTGTCATCCATGCTGTACACAGAATGGATCGATTTTTCAAACTGGGGGCAAATTCTGATTTCTTCTTCAACCATCTTTATTTTTAGTAGTGGTTGGCCAAATGTGATGCAAGTAGCACGTTGCAGAAGAACTTCCTGCTTTGTCGTACTTTTCCACAAACGAACACAAACACAGCAGGCTAACATACCACCGAAGGAAAAACCTACATGAAAATTAGCTTCATCAATACATTTTCTGTAAGTATAAGTAAGTAATACCTGTAAAAATTATCTTTTTATTCAAATTCAGCTGATCAATAAAAAATCTGAGAGGAATTTCATTGCACTGCTGTCTTAACCCTAAAGAACAAAAGTAATACAAAAAACTGCATGGGTTATTAAAGGCAAAAGTGTACTGTGGATTTGCACGACAAAACTGCATACAACGACATGTGTAAACTGTGCGCAGGCTCACATAGAACATGTTAAAGTGAAAAGTATAAATACCTTTGTGAACCGTTCACCATCCCACCAACTAACATTTTGTATTGCAGAGAAAAAGGAAAATCTGAAAATCCAAGATGCCCTGACAAGTCAAGATAAAAGCACTAAAGTGCAAACCCTCGGCGAACTGGTATTGGTTTACTCGTGGTATCCCGCTAGTAGCTCGAGGAGAGTGATAGTAGTAGATAACTTGCGGGAGTCGATACATGCCCTTAGGTGGTATGTTAGCCTGCTGTTTGTATTCGTTTGTGGAAAAGTACGATGAAGCAAGAAGTTCTTCTGCAACGTGCTACCTGCATCACATTTTGACTTCTTGTGCCTTCAAGATACACAGAGCAAGCGGAAACAATTACGAAAATTGCCAATTTTAACTTCAAGCCAGTGTAGCACTGAACCTTTTGGTATCGCTCTTTTGTTGTCTTCTTGCACATAGTTGCAGAAAACGTGGTAACAGACTGACAGACACTAATGGACCAAGTACCATAAAGCTCGCAGCGCACGCGAGCCGAGGGTTAAAGCAAATGAATAAAGTGCAAACCCTCTGTTATACACATTGCACCCTTACACATGTAATGACTATGATAATGACTCAGACTGAGTGATTTTCATGATTTCATTATTGCATTCCCATCTCCGGTATCTTGCCTATTATAAGTGTGCATTTGCTGAAATCATTGAGTTTTTCTGCTGAGTACTGCCGATATTCTTGTGCAACACCTGGCCGAGCACGACATTTGGGGGACTGTCCGGGATCAGCATGCCGACTCTCTTCGAGCCCCTGTGCGACGAACGATCCTTGTAATGACGCTGGCAGTGCGCATGATCGAAGGTGTTGACCACAGAAGCTCTGAGGACGCAGTTGGACGCCCTCAAAACCAAACTGTATGGATTGGAGGTTGAGAAACAAAGGCTGTGGGACGAAAGCCCAGAACAAGCGGCCGCAGTGGACCTAGAGGACGAGATGAAGTAAGCTCAAGAAGAGAATGTGCGTCTCTCGCAATGGGTCAACGAATTCAGTGACAGCCTGTCAGAGGAGGTTGAAGGGACGTCTGGGACACCCTCAACGGAGGTCGCGGAACTGAGGGAGAAGCTTGCGCGGTCCGAGAAGGAGTCGGTGGGGCTGAGACTTCGGTGCACATGGCAAGCTGATGAGCTGGCAGAGGAGAAGCAGCATATATCTGAGCAATGGATGCAACTCGAGGAAGAGAGAGAAGCACGAAAAGATTTACAGGAACAGTTGTGTCAAGCGTCTAACGCGGTTCAACAGATCCAGAGCGAGACGGAGCTGCTGAGACTGAAAGCCGTCGCCGACGAGAACAAGAAGTGGGAGGAGCGCGAAGCAAGATGGGGAGAGCGAGGCTGCGGGAGCTGGAAGAGAAGGTGGAAGAGACCCGTCAATGCCAGCTAAGCCGAGCAGGGATGCCAGCGGAACCTTCACCCGATCGTGGGTATGTTACACGTACGAGTAGTATCGGGGAGCGTGAGAAGAGGGTGGGTTTTTGGGACAATACCACGCCTGAGAGTGTCTCACCACCATCTGGCACTGATAAGAGTACACCCACCCACCTCTGTTGATAAAACTACACACCACAAAGTGAACCTTCCAGCTTCATTAGCCAGTGGTAGTGGTTTGTCTGCTGCAGCTGCTGTTTTTGTGCCTGGTACCCTTAGCCCTACATTGCAGTCTCAGGGTAAGGAAGGGGAAGAAGTGGAGCCAGTGCCGACCCTGGCAGCGGCCCCTTTAGATGTCCTGTCAGTTGCTTTGCTGGCATAACACCTACCACCATTGCCAAACTACCACGGAGATAACCTTGAAGGAGACGGAGAAGGCTTTAGTGAATGGCATGAGCGCCTTGAGATGGTTGCGTCTGCCTGTAGATGGAATGACCAGGCTAAGCTAGTAAACCTTGCGACTCGTTTGCGTGGCAAAGCTGCCCAGTTCTACCGGTCGTGTGCCCCTAAGCAAAGATCGAGCTATAGTGAGCTGGTTGCGGTGCTCCGCACTTGATTTATGCCAGTTCATATCCAATCAGTTCACAGTATCATTTTCAATGAGCGAAGGCAGGGTAAAAAGGAGAAAGTAGATGATTATGCACAAGACCTGCACAAGCTTTTCAATCATGCATATCCCAAAGCACAGAGTGGCGGAGAAGCGGAGGCTATTGGGAGGTCCGTTCTGGCCAACCAGGATCGACTCAAGACGAAGCTGGTAGGACAGACAAGAATGTTTGAGGAGCTATTCGCTCAAGCCCACTTCGAAGAGGCTCGCCTGTCACCATGTCCAGAGGGTAAGTCGACAGACACACCACCACGGAAGAAGTCCGGCAACAGCGAAACAATGCATCACCCCGTTCAGCTGGACGCCAACAAAAGTCCTCAAAAGGCTACCTCAACTATAGGAGTGTAGGGCATTTTCCACGTGAATTCCCGGACCGTGGGCATGGTGCCCCTGTGGAAGCCCCAGGGAGGACGGGACTGTCACCATCACCTAAAGGTCTACGTGTTTTTGTGGTGCAGCCCAGTGACCAAGCAGCTCAGTGGAGGAGGCTGTCCAACGAGTAGTGGCCAGGATGACCGTGGCCCTCTGCCCCTGGGACCAGTCCTGACTAGTGATGTGGGAGTTGAGGGTCAATCACCAAGGCTCTGATCGACACGGGATCACCTGTTAGCATCATCTCCCTCGACTACTTCCTGCAGACAACCGCCAAGCAACGACCTGAAGGACAGACACCAAATAATTGGTCGGAGTCAGTGTGTAAACGGATCCTTCCATCAGCTATGTCACTTCGCAGCTATGGAGGAGCTGAACCACCTATCGTGGGGTAAACTGACGAGGGGATGCCACCATCAAAGGCGTGCTGCAAGTGCAATCCGGGAGCTCCTGTCGATCTACTCCTGGGGACAGACATACTACCAACCTCGGATTCTGTCAGGTTGAAGGCGGGAGAGTGCTGCCAAGGCTCTTCTTGCAGGGGGAGCAACAATGGACATGTCTTCTGGAGCTACTGCCGAAGTGAGACTGATCAGACCTGCCCCTCTACCAGCTGGTCATTCCAAGATCATCAACGTCAAGGTGAACAACCCAGATCTGACTGGAAACGCTTTCTTGTTCGAACCAATATCCAAACAATGTCGAGATCTTCTTGTACTGGATGCCCTTGTTGGGATACGTGAAGGAGGAGAGGCGACCCTAGTGATCGCCAACCCAGGGTCGTACCCGATGCTGCTGAAGGAGGGAGACCTCATTGCAAAGTGTGAAGTCCTACAGCCAGAGGAGAGCGAGACCCCACCAGTCGTCGAAGTTGCGGCCATCAAAGAAGGAGCTGGAGATAGTGGACGTCTGGAGAACTTGGCAGTAGTCTGCAGCTTGAGTCCATTCCCCTTACCCCCTGAGGAGCATTCTCTACTTAACTCACTGGTGGCAGAATTCTCTGGTCTCTTTGCCGTAGATGATGACGAGTTGGGAACAACATCTCTAGTGACCCATTGGATCAACATGGGTGATAGCCCACCGATTAAACAACAGCCGCAGAGGCTCCCTTTCGCCTTACGTCAACATGTGCAACAATTTACAGAGAAGATGTTGGAGAGAGGTGTCGTCACCCCCTTGTCTATCCCCTGGCCAGTCCAGTGGCATTGGTGGCAAAGTGAGATGGATCCACTCGATTATCATCGGCTAAATGCTGTCACGAAGCAAGACGTTTTCCGCTGCCACGTACCGACGATTCCCTGGATCTATTGGCTGGTTAAAGCTACTTCAGCTCTCTGGACTTGGCAGGTTGGGATGGACCCCGAGTCCCAAGAGAAGACCGCCTTTACTACACCTGGAGGACTCTACGAATTCACTGTGATGCAATTTGGGCTATGCAACGCCCCAGCCATGTTTCAGAGGCTTATGGAGGGGGTGTTGTCAGGATTGGCCAGAGAGCAATGCCTTGTCTACCTCGAAGATGTACTGGTGGTGGGGCAGACTGTGGACGAACATCTACGTGCCATCTTCAGCCGCCTCGCATTTGCTGGATTTGAAGTTGAAACCTGTGAAGTGTCGCCTCATGAGGAAGGAAGTCTCCTTCTAGGCTACATCGTGTCAGTTGGTGGTGTCAGGCCACTTACGCCAGGCGAAGATCAACCGTCAGCTCAGCGAACATTATTGGTGGCCTGGAATGCGCAAGGACCAGCATAGGTGGTGGGGCTTGCACCCAGTGTGCCACACAGAATGTGGGCAAGCCAGTCAGACCGGGACTCACCTCTATACATTTCGGCGGCACCTTTGATATGGTGGGAGTGGACGTACTCCAGTTGCCGAATACCAAGCGAGGAAACAAGTATGCAGTAGTTTTCATTGACTACCTCACCAAGTGACCGGATGTCTACACAACCGAAGGTCATACAGCACCTACAATTGCAAAGCTGTTGGTAAAAGAAATAATTAGTCGCCATGGTGATTCTCCCTTCTTCTTTTATACGGCCGGGACCCCCGTCTCCCAACAGAAACACTTTTGTCATCCCCTCGTGATCCGCAGTTGATGGACTTAGACGACTACAAGTCGGTCCTGATCCGCGAAATGGGTTCTGCCTGAAGGATAGCTCAGGAGAATGTCCGGAAAGCTCAAAAGCAACAGAAACAGTATTATTTATGACAAGTTTGAGAGGAACTCTAAGTTTGCTGTTGGGGACTGAGTTTTCATCTGCATGCCAACTAAGACTGGTCACATGAGGAAACTGGCATGTCCGTTTCAAGGCCCATAACGCGTTTTTGAAGTGTACACGAGTGGGTTGGACCTCCGACCAGTTGACAAGCCTGCGGCTCAGCCTATTCGTGTTGCCATGAACAGGATAAGACATTGTCCTGGTGAGATCCAGGAGTGTTAGACAAGGCAGAAACCACCAACCCCGAACCCTATCATGAGCCCCCAGGATGTGACAAGGACCAGTCTGGTAGCGGAGCTAGGGCCGCCTCGGAACCAGAAGAGACTCGAACCGAAGAGACCCGAGATGCAGAGAAGAGCAATATGAGGAGGGGCTGTTTACGCCCGAGGACCTGACGCTCAAGGACGATCGTCCCCAGAGCATATGAGAAAATGTCATAATAACTCAGACTGATTGATGTGCATGATTTCATTATTGCATTCCCATATCCGGTATCTTGCCTATATAAGTGTGCGCTTGCTGTAATCATTAAGTTCCACTGCCGAGTCCTGGCGATATTCTCGCACAACGCCTGGCCGAGCATGACACACATGCCCAGGTGAGAATACTGCTAATTCAGTGGCTTGTGATATACATGGTCTGACTCTCCCGCTAGCTTTTACCAGGGGCTATATAGAAGTAGATGTTTTAGGCATTGCGAGACAAGACACTCAACCTCCGTTGTAACTTCTGATACCCACCGCCCACCACACGACTAAACAGGCGAAATGGGTCGAGGCAAGCAAATGTTAATTTGCATTTTGGCGGTTAATATTTTCCCCGCCGTGGGTAAAAATGAATGGGAATAATTATGGAATCAACACTCACTTAATTTTAATCCAAATCTCTCGCAGTAGTTGGTGCTAACGAATAATGCTGAATGCCGTCCCAAGCATGTACCAGGAAAATTTTCTATTATGTTTTTTTCCGGCAAATGATCATGGTTTACTTTAGTCATGGTCACCAGACCCTTCCTATGAAAATGACAGGCACTGAAGCGCTAACCCTCGGCGCAGTGGGCGTGATTAATTTGTATACACATGCTTAAGTACATGTACGTACTACTTAGCTGCTACATGTCATCATTAGCTGGCTACATCAGTAGGTCAGCAATGGTAGATCCTTGCTCACCCTGTGCACATTCTGATGTCTCAATGGTGTGGGGGAGATTAACATATTCTTAATCGGCAGGCTGTGCCTCAGCAGGTCACCTGCAATGCTTTTCTATGCAGCCTTGTCCCATGCAAGGTGGTGTAGATGCTGATGACGTACACGCTATACCGTACGCATGTGCAGCACTGTTAATTTGTGGGCTGGTCCAACTTTACCATTTTACTGATTACCAGCTCGCTGAGAGTCGGTCACAAGCTTGCTACACTGCTAGATAGTACGCGGGAGTCGATACTCGTCCTGCGTTGCAACTTCTGGTGCCTCCGAGGTATGCAGTGCTGGCCGAGGTAAGCCAGTGCTAATTTGCATATTAACTCCTTCACCAAAATCGCTATTTTATAATAAAGCCAGTGTGGCACTGAACCCATTGGTATCGCTTTTTGGCCGTCTTGTTGCGCGTAGCGGGAGAAAACGTGGTAACAGACAGACAGAAGGACGAAATGACAAAGTACTACAACCCTCGCTGCACATGCGTGCCAAGGGTCGCATGCGGTAGTCGTCTGCGCGAGAGGGAAAGAAGGGTCTGGTTCAGAGCTATACCCTAATGTGGGCTAAAGCTGGATTGTGATAAGAAGTGTTAGAACCCAATTATAGACCACAGTACCGAATTACGGGGCTGGGTCTTGGGTGTAGTTTTAGAAGAATGAGTGTGTGAAGTGAGTTGTAGTCCAAGCTCAGTCGAGGCTGCTATTGATTACGCGGTTGGTGTAGATAAGGCGCCATTACAGCGAGAGAAATTAATCCTCGCTGGACAAGCCTACAAAGTCATTTCTAATAAACAACCACCAACAGTTTTTGCACCCTGTATTAGAGAATGATAATGGCTGAAATAGCATATACTCATTGTGTAGACCCCTAGACCATCACAACAATAGAGCTGGGACAGAGCTTAAAAAATGAGCTCTGACACATGCAACTGTAATGTGACAAAACTATTAACCTTCATTAAAACCAATATCAACACTATAATTATCTCTGTAGCCTAACACCCCAGTACATTACCTTTTTCTAGCACTAACCACATTATGACAACTAGGTAGGCTCATTTGCTTACTTGTTACCTCCTGTCAGCACTTAGCTACAACTGGTGTGAGCAATCAAGGGTGAAAACTATGCACCAAGGTGTAGATTGTACGAAAAGCAAAATTGGGTCAACAATAGTGCGCAGGGTTTATGGGCAATGGATGCACATTATAAATAATATGAAAAACTAACACCTTTCACTACATGCAACGCAACAGCCGAACTAATGTTGAGGCCAAAAAACCTTGCCATGGCTGTACCCAGTAAGTGCAGTATCGCTGCCCTCTTTAATGTTTTGCTCAAAGAATCACAAACACTTAGTAGACTAACCTTCATCAAATGATGTGCAGTCAACCCATTCATCAATGGACTGTGTGCTCTGAAATGCAACATATAAGATATCTTCTTGCACTGCAATCAAATACGGAGTGATTCTCTCACTATGTTGTGAGAAAGAAATTTCCGTAAAACTATGGTTTGGATTTTTGTTTTGAAAATATGTGTGAACATTAACATGGTCTCGATCACTTATAGCAACACAGCAGAGGCTAGCATGGTAGAGTGTGTCTTTGCAAAAAAGGGGTGATTCGGGAGTTGGTGGTTTTTTGACAATGGGCAACAATGGCATTGCACTGGCTTCATTGCTTGCTCTCTCTTTAGCCTCTGCCAATTCTTGTTGGACCCATGGCCACAATATAGTGGGTATTACTACTTGGTCGCAGAGATATTTTAATCCATTTTCAATTTGGATTAATGGATCTGATGCTTTGTCGATGTACTGTCGAACTTGATCCTTAATGACATTAACAGCACCCCGTCCAATATTTTCATCACTTGCACTATTAAGTGCTGCACTATATGCCTGAAGTTGGATCTTCAATTCTTGATATTCGTTGCCCAAATATTCTGGGAAGAAATCAACGATCAAATCAAAATTAATATCACACTTAACCGTAATTCACTTACTTCCACTTCTCCTGAGTTCTTCCACAGTAGCTGGAAAAAAGAAGCATAATTATAATGGCAAACACTAAAATGTGTGAAGCATGAGCAAGTTGTACGTTCTATTCAAAGTTCTTACTCGCCTTCTTATTAACACTATACTACAGATAAATCGTCCAAACGTCTGTCTTGTGAGCAAAACCTACCCATTTGGCAAAGGAGGAGAACACGCTTGAATGCACATGCATACGAATAGCTTTGGCACTGGTACCCCAAATCCTGGCTTCAGCCCTGGACTTTCAAAGGCATACTAAATATCACTAAACCAGACAGTTTTCCATTACCCACAACCACTAGATATCCTGGGGCAAGCCAAGTACTTCTCATCTATCATTCTATCTTCCAGGTTCTGAATGCACAACTACCAGAAGAGCATTCGTGACACTCAAATGACTCTACAAGTTTGAAGTAATTCCTTTTAGCCTATGGCTTTTAGCCTAATGCTTTTAGCCTAATGCTTTTAGCCTAATGCTTTTAGCCTAATGAATGCTCCAGCAGTTGTTTAAAATGCAACATGCATCAAGTAGCTCATCTAAACAAAGATTAAGAGTCAGAATGTCTCAGTCAATATGGATGATATCCTTGTCCTTTTAAAACCTCTACTATTCCACCTTGAACGAATATTAAAGTGACACATGGAGGATGGACTAAAGTCGAAATGAACCAGGTATAGTTTCATACGGAAAGAGTTGGCTTACAATGTGTCACGAGATGGACTCAAGCCAACTCCTCACTGGTTTTGGCTGACCAACAATTCCATGTAGACTAGTCTGGGAGTTGTTCTACAGTCAAAGCGAGTGAGCATGCTCGCTGGTAGACCAGAGTTTGTGGCCGGGGTGTGAAAAGCATTATCATCCTGTAATTAGCCGGAAGAGAGGAAACTAACGCTGATACCTTCCCCGCAGACCTCACTTACAGCAACCTGAAGTAGGAATTGCAGAGGATAAAGTCCAGGTTTCAACCATTGCTGTTTCCAGAGACAATCCTACCTGATCCCTACGACCAACTGAGGGATGGAGAATGTCACTGCCTGAAAATAATATCTCTTCACTTTGGTAGAAGATGACAGACCAAGCCGGCAGAAACGGGACAAGCCAAAATCCTCAAATATGCTTTCATACCACAGCAAAATCAACATCTTCCAGGACAAATATTTCTGTTGAGTAAGGACCAAAGATTTCCCAGTCACTACCAGGAAAAGGCAAATCTCGGCAATCACTTCAGGTGCCACCTGCTCCACCATGTAGAAAATACCATGTTATGCCAAGAGAGAAAAGATGCTGAGCTCTGGACAGCTGTTTCGGGCTTGTTGGCCCTCATCAGCAGAGCATACCGCAACTTCTCTCTCTGGCATCACGAGTTTATAAAGGCTGCCATGAGCACTGCACTTGTGGTTTTGAACTAATGAGATTCATCTCCACAAGGCATTGCTCAGGCTACATGGAGCGCAACGCTTTTTGATTCTGAGATTCATCCCCACAAGGCTTTGCCACTGGTATGTGCTGACCATGCCCAGACATTCGTGGTTTGGAGCCTAGGCCCCTCCCCACTCCTGCTGGTCAAGGGCAGCACTGAGCCAAAACCCACAGACAAAGGCCAGTAAGACCTTGAACCCTGTATCTTCCATGATAAAGACTGAAGAGAGCACTGGTGGGGGCTACTCACCACTCAGCCACACAGAGATCAACCTACTGAATGTTTCAAACCATCTACAGAGTACAACTTCCCCTCATGCATGAGTCATACAGGGACTAACTCAGTTCCATACAGTCTACAAAGCCATTATGTCACTAGTCTCGGGACACTAAGGAAGGAAGTATGCTCAGTTCAAAAAGTCTGGAGAGCCTGGCTAGTTCTGACTTTGCCCCTGAGACTTTGAAGGGTTTGGAAACTTCCAGCTATAAAGCAATAAAGAGTTTTAGAATTGGTTGTTCTGGAACAGTACGGATAGCACTGCCACAGAGCATCAAATATTGTTTGATTTGCTTGTTTTGTAACAGTAGGGATAGCACTGCCATGGAACCAATCTTTGCTCGGTTACAGTAGACCAAGGACAATTGAAATTTTGTGTTCACCTTTAGTGTCACTAACCCTATTCCAGTTCATTGATAACATTCATCAAGACGTGATAGATAGAACAGCCGCAAAAATTATGTCTACCTGACGAGAGCTAGTTTGAGTGAGAGCACACAAGAGGGCTCACTCGATGACTGTTAGAGTCCTTTGCAGCGGTGACTGATGATGTACCGTAACTAAGTCCTTTATAGGTGCTATATATGCCTTAAGGTTACTATTAATTGCGGGTACTAATTTTAGCGAATTTAGCGGGAATTATATACGCACTAATAATTGTGCCGCAATGAAAATATAGGTTATACTGAGCGTCAATGGAAATGACGCGATTTAGACGGCACGAGGGGGACTGAGCTGTAGCGAAGATGCTACTAAGGGCTCCGAGGCCGTCTAAATCATGTACTTCCATTGACAAGGCCATGCTGGCCGTTAAAATCGTCCAGGTCCGTCGTCTTCCGCGAGACTCGCTCTCGCTGGGGGAAGCTAAAAAGGTCTTCATTTTAGTTTATTTTTGCATCATAGAGAGGCCTTTCATCGAAGAAGCATCGGATATAGCGAGTTTGAAGTCGTCGCGGCGAGCACTTAGCAACAGAGCGAGTTTTTTTGCATGGAAGCTTGCCACACCCCCATCAAAGACGCCATTTTGTGGCGGGCGTCTCCGTGGAAACACGCACTTGGAAAATACGGGATTTTGTCTGCTACAGAGTCCACGTTTTACGCAATCTGATTGGTCAATTTGAATCTGCCGACGTCTAAATTCTCTTAAATAGAACAAAAATGTTAGACAATCACTAAAATTAGTATACGCCAAAAACACTCAGTGCAAAAACGCTAAAATTAGTACCCGCAATAGTAACCTTAAGGCCCAAATAACGTACAAGTAAATAAAAAATCCTGTGAGTTTTGGGGATGGTATAAAAAAGAAAGGGAGACAGGGTTGGGATGGGGTATATACACATGAAGCATGGTTAATGAAGCAAGCTGACACCCCCAACCCCATCACACAATCCCTATTGTTGTCTACGTGAAGTATTAAACATTCACCATTACAATACCCATAACAAAAAAGTCATGCTACTGAGTAACCAACACCGTTATATATAGAGTCCAAGTGGAGTTGGAATGTGGCAAGAGTAAGAGTCACACTGACACTCCTCAATAAGAGTAGCACACCAGGCAGCAATGTAGGGATTGTTTGATGGGGTGTCAGCTTGCTCAAATGTGTTCATTAACCATGCTTCATGTATATCCCATCCCTATCTTGTCTCCCTTTCTTTTTATACCATCCCTATATGCTAAATTCGCAGGATTTTTTATTTACTTGTCTCCACTCATTTTTATATTAGAGAGTCGGTAGACTCTCTATATAGGGATGACACGGGTGAAATCTCACGTGATCCGCGTACAAAACGATCTAATAACACTCGGTGAGAACCACTCCCTAGGCCTTCAAAACCATACTAGCAATAGTCTATCGGGCCCATAATATACCCTATACATGTCCCCCAAGAGCTCATACGCACCTTCAGATCGTCCATTCGCGGAAGTCGCTCATACGCGATTTCACGATTTTCGTGTCATCATATCTTCAATCTTCTTCGTCTTCTTAACTTTTAAACCCGCTATCTCCTTACCAGTACCAGTTCACAGCACTGATTTTTTCACTGAAAGTCTCCAATTTTGCTGAGGTGTGCACGGACATCAATGCGATCATTTCTTCTTGCCGCTAGTCACTACGTAGATCATGGAGCTCTTCCATTGTGGTCGACCTGAACGCCATTTGCTGCTTACTCAGCATCAGTGATCCGCGCCATGCGCCAGGCAGGGGCGTTGTCCAATGTGCTTGCGAGCGTATTCTACACTGGCGAGTTGGCAGACCTGCAGAGGAACTGTCAGTCTCCAGTACCTTCTGCAGTAAGTGCGCACATTTCCCAACTGGCTATTCTTGCTGTTGATTTTCACGAAGAGCAATTTTGCCAGAGTCTGCTGCGGTGTTACGCGAGCCTTGCGGGGCACTCAGTCAATTGGCCTTCATTGTTTGTCCCCACCCAGGTTGTAGCCTGAGTACCCAATGAAACCACAACCATGTGCAATAATCTAATTACATCCTTGTTGAAGACAATACAGTATCTAGCGGCCCCTTAGCTACTACGTTCAACAGTTACGATGTAGTTAGGCTATCTACAATGAACACCATGAGTGACTGTAACATATAAATGCGAGTGATTGCCATAAGCTGTTATAAATATAGTGGAAATGGAGGACACAAGTGGAAAATCATCTATTTCTCACAATGACAAAGGTGATGCTATATATGGCTTGAGCACCAAACAGGAAGAAACAAGGGGTCATTCACACAGCAAAGTTGCACATAGCTACATGACACCATCCCTATATCTTTGTTTTAATTGTTATAAGCAAAGTTTAATATCAACAATATCAAACAAAGATATAGGGATGGTGTCATGTAGCTTTGTGCCACTTGCTGTGTAATGACCCCTTGTTTCTTCCTTTTTGGTGCTTCAAGCCATCCCTATATCCCCTTTCATTTGTGAGAAATGATTTTCGCACTTGTACTACTACTACGTATTATCTCTGTGTGGAGGGGCAGCACCTATAAATAATTAGTAATTAGCGAAAATGCCTGTTGTCATCTTGTAAATGATGTGTAATTCGCTATGCGTAGCGAAGTGTTTCATCTCTCCCTATGATGTGCTGCTGTTAGCAAGTTTGAGAGTGCAGTTGATTGTAAAGAAGATGAGTGCCTGCGGCTATTGTGTGTCATGGAACCATCATATTATGCATGCGATACCAAGTTCCACCTCCACCACCTCGTGCGTGCAGGTTTGAATTGAGTGTGCGGTGATTTTACGAGTAAATGGTGCCTGAGGCTATTGTCGTTGTGGTGTCATGGAACGA